AGCAGTAAATTACTAAATGATCAGTGTGAATTGTTGATTTTATGTACCAAAATCTTTTAATAACCAGGGAACACATTGGCAATTAACACAAATAGTGTAGATAGATGACTTCAGAATGAACACAGCTTCCTTGAGCCTACAAATGCGCTGAACATGGGAATAACAGACAGAATAGTACAGGGTGGATGACATCCTAATTATAATTTCTGTAGAGCTGTCTGACACATGTCCCACTCTAATGTAAAACAAAATAGTCTTTAAAATACATTTAATTTTTAGTCATTTAATTCCATTTAGCCCTGAGCCTTGTTTGGGGAATTTTTTAGAATAATTATCCTCCCAGAACAAAAACGTCAAGGTCTTAGATTTTGCCATGCATGTATTTCATAAGGCTGTGAAAATGAATTAGATTTTGGATGAACTCCAGCTTCACTCTGCTGCTTGTGAAGTCCCTCAGTGCTGGGGACCATGGTGCTCCCCAGCAGGCTACCCACACAGGCTCGGGGCTTCCCAGGCACTGCTCTGTTTCAAGGTGGACGCAGTAGAGACGCACTGTACCTGACGCTCAGCTGGAGATGTCAGTGCCTGCACACGGTTCCCAGGTCTGCCCTCCCTCTGCCACAAGCAGGGACTAAAATGCTCCTGACAGCAGCTGCTCATCTGCCTGCAACCAGAGTGCGGGCACCCCAGGAGAGCCCTGCCCGGCCGGTCTGGAGCAACGGCCGTGTGAGGGACAGAGGCCACTCCGAGCTGCTGGGATTCAGAGGCTGTTTCATCACAAGCCTCACCGGGCCTGTGCTGGCGGGTAGCCGAGGTCCAGACTTTACAGCCAGCCACGCACAGCTGGCCAACATGACATTCACACAGTGCTGCTGCAAGGTCATGGGTACATATGGAGCAGGACTCCAACACTCCTGCCCCCATGGGCAGATGGAATGTGCACTGTCAGCGGGGTCAGGGAGGGCACCACTGGAGGGGACCCGCTGTGGCTAAGAAAGACAAGAGAAGGCAGGCACGAGGCGGCGAGGGACAGCACTGGGAAGACGGCACTGCACAGCAGAGAACTGGAATGCACGTGCCAGCAGGAATGGCACAGCCCCCTGCGGGAACCTGCAGCACACAGCCACCTGCTCCTCTCCACGCCTAACTCTGTGTGGGCCCTGGAGTCCAGAGTGCACAACAGTGTGACCAGGACCACGGTCTCCAGGCTGTACTGGCAGGCAGAGGCCGTGAGGGCCGGGCTCACCCCGAATCCATAAGCTGCATGGAACCACGGGTGCTGGAACACATCACATTCCTCTGGACAACGGCTTCCGTGCACCGCCTTCCAGAAACGTGGGCCCAAGAGCCTGCCCCAGCTACAGTGGTTTCATCAATGTCTCCCCAGCAGGGAAAAGAGAAACTGCATCTGATAAGGGATCAAGAAGCCAAAGAAACAGAAGGGAAAACAAAGTAGCAGGTGGGGCTTCCCCAGCACCAGGTATGTCACAGACCCCGCCCCTTTCCTCCGGCCACTGCCCACCGCCGCCCCCCCAAGCCCCTGCCCTCCCCACCAGGTTATACGGCAGCCCCGCCCCCAGCCCCTTCCCAGCACTAGTGGCTGGGAGGCTGCCTGACCAACAGCAGTGAGCTCTTTGTGCCAGAAGCTGCTCCCCAAGCCAGGCCCAAGGCAAGGTGCTGGGGCTGGAGCAGCGCCTCCACACTGTCAGGAACAATCCATCTCCTAGGCACCGGTAACTGCTTGGAATGGGTTTCTGCCCAGGACACAGCAGCCTCTCATCCAGGAAATCCCAAATCCTTTTCGGCATCCCAGGAACCAGCTCTCAGACCTGATCAGTCTCCTCCGGTCCCAGCAGGCACCTCGTCTCTCTGCTGCAGCTTTCACCTGGTCCTGTGGCTTCTCCCGCAGACTTCTGGCACCAGCCTCTTCCAGAGTGTCTGTGCCGGCTGTCCCTCCCCGAGCCCAGGGCTCACACAGCAACTGCTGTCTGCCGCTGGCGGGGCTGCGGGAACACACAGCCCACGCAGGTTTCGTGGGCCACCTTCTTGATTTACACGGTTTCCCTGAGACAGTGTGAAGCCATCCTGGTGCACATGGACCCCAGGAATTTCAAATTCATTCTCGAAGTATATCTTCACTACACAGTGACGGTTCTAGCTTTCAGCATATTGAAGATAATCTCTTGTACTTCTGCTGAGAAGTCAGTTCTCAGTGGATAGGTATTCTTAGAAAAGTGTTTTTCTTCTTGAACTGCTGCAGAATCTCTCTTGGTGTTTAGCTTAATCCAGTTCACTACGGTTTCCTCTGCCTCTCAAACTTGTGAACCAGTGTAGTTGGGGAAACACCTGTCAGAATCTCTTCACATTCCCTTTTCCTCCTGAGATTTCAATAAAAACACATCAGGCTTTCTAACCACACCCGCCATAGCTCTTACATGCTGTATTTCATATTCCTAATTCTCTATTTTTTCCCAGGGCTATTTCCTACTCGCCCATCATCCTGTTCAGTAATTTTCTCTTTAGTAGTCTCTAATTTGTTGAATCTGTCCACCAAGCCACCATTTTCCCTTCCTGTGTTTTCAGTTCTGGAAATTCTATGCGGTCATTTTTTAAGTCTCTCCTACAAACCGTACCTTAGATTCCCTGCAGGCACTGGCACACTTTTTATTTCTTCACATTTAATTGGATAGTAGTTTATGACACACAAGGATCACATAGGCTCAGTGCTTGACAGACCTGGTTCCATTCTCCATTTACTCTCTAAGCATCCTGAGATCATGCTTTATTGCTGAGTGAAGATCCCATGCTTGCAAAGAGACTATCTGTAAGAAAGGAACCGTGTAAATCCTGGTGACACCATCTACAAAGGTTTTATTTCTCGAAAGCCTTCTGAGGAGTCGCGATACATAATCTCCTTAATTCAGGTTCAAACAATACTGATCTCCCACGACTTGAAGTGAGACTACTGGGCAGTGTGAGGACTGTGTGACCCCTTCTGCTCTGGGCCCCCCAGGCCCTCCCGACAGCAGAGCCACTGTAACCCCAGAGTTCTTCAACTCGAGCCTGCAGAGCATCACAGCTCCTTCCCCACCACCCTCACCATTCATGGGGGGTCCACGGAGGTGCTCCCCACACCACAGCAAAACGTGTCAGGAGTGAACGCTGACCTTCCCGGGAAATGCAGAAGTGAGGCAGGGGGTGTTGAAAAAGCAATTTCTCCTTCCCAGTACAGCCTGCCTTAATGGCATCTTTACAGTCCCTCAAAAAGTCCCACGAATTCTTTCTCCCAGAGGAGCGGAAGTCTGATGTGCTGCGGAGGTGCTGCTGCTCCCACGGGCGGTGTACAGGGGGACGGGTCCCAGCAGGGCTGGGCTCTGCAGACATGGAGGCCGCCCGAGTGCAGCCAGTGTCCTTCCCCTGGCGCCACCACGAAAGTCCTCGATGCGTTCATGGCAAGAACAGGAACAAAGAGGCACAGGTTAGCCTGCTTCCGAGAGGGCCTGCTCTGCTCTGAAGAGCTGAGTCTTTAAGCAAAAGGGCGGAGGATAAAGTGCCTCCAGAAGCCGCACAGGAAATGAAAGACGTTTTACTGAAGGCCGACGGGTTCCTTCGGTGCTCGATACCCCTCCTTTAGTCACCCAGCAAATCTGCGCTGTGCTTCCTCTGAACCCCAGCACCAGAGAAACCGATTCGAGTATTTCCCCAACTGCAGCAACACAGCAAATGAGCACTAGCCACAAGTTTCTGACCTCCAGGAAAACACAGAATATGCCCTCGAAGGGGCACGAGAGGAAAGGAAGAACCTGCCAAGGACAAGCGATTCACATCTACACATCATATTTCAACGGGCTCCAGGAGACGGGGATGCCTGTGAAACTGAGGGCAGGGAGAAACCCAAGCCAGCCAGGCTAGAGCTCGGTGTGCGCGCAGCGTGAACGGGGGCGGCTAAGGCCCGGACAGAGGAAAACAACCCGCGTCTGGAGGAGACAGGCTGGGAAGTAGCTGGCTGCAGTGCTGAACCAGGTAAAGCGGCACGGGGAGAACTGCGCGAGACTCCTAACATGGGAACGAGGTGACAACCCTGAGACACGCGCTGCAAACCAGATTCAATCAGGAACAGAGCGCAGCTTAGGATTTGTAGGGCTCCACTTGACAATGTGGTTCAGAGGCTCCCCACACCAAGTGCCTCTGCAGGGCAGACTCCAGGGACGGGCCTCCACCAGGCCGGCAGGGCTGGGCCCGGAAGGGCTCCCCCTCGGCAGGCAGGCTGCCCAGACCAGGCTTCAGACAAAGTGCGATCTCTGTATGCTCAGCGGGACGATCTGCAGCTCACCTGGGACACAATGGAAGGGCGAGTCTCTCCTCAGAGGTTCAGGGCTGACTGGCCAGTGTCACAAACAGACGCCCAGTTCTGCTTGGCATCACTTTGTTAATACCCTGCTCATTAATTTAACAAACTATCAGGAGACTCTGCCAGGATGGGCCAGCATTATCTCTCAACTTTCATTTAATTAAACTCCACTACTGCAATGTGACAGTCAGCACATCGCAGGGGAATTATTTTAAGGACGAAGGTAAAAATATTTCAAAGCCCCCACTTAAATATGAAACCCTAATCTAAAATTGCCCGAGCACTCACTATAATTTTTCTGTAACATTAAAAATGTTTTTTCCAGACTTGGTTATTAATTGGGTCCCATGGAGAAATTACTCTATGATGCACACAGTGAAGAAAGGCCCAGTGGATGGCCATATACCACCCTCTGCCCCCCATGATGACGGTGCCCATGCTTAACAAGGAGTGGAGCTGCCCGCTGGGTGGGGGATCACGAGCACGTTCGTCCAGCCAGGCTTCTGCCTGAGGATGACTCGGACAGGGCAGCCATCGGCACTCCAAGGCAGCCTCAGGGAACACATGGGGGTGAGCGGCCCGGTGCCACCAGCGCAGGGGGACAGCACCCTCCAAGGCCCCCAGCCCCTGCCTGCCTCCAGCTGCTTACCGTCAATCCGGCTCACCAGCTCCTCCAGCATCTTCACCTTCATTTGAATCCCCGGCTGGGCAAAGGTGTAGTTGTCCTGAGGAGAAGATAACAGTGTGAATCATGCAGACAAGGTAAAGCGCGTCTTCCCAAGAGGGAAAGGGGGCTGAGATGACCTCACGGCGGTGAGTTCCCCAGCAAACCACAAGACTGTGTTCTGAGAACGGACTGGGGTGGGAGTGGTCTAGGTGGCACCAAATGATCCCACCGTGGGGAGCTCAGGAAGGGAGGCCGACACTTTCGACATCAGCAGGCAGGCACGCACCGAGGGGAGCACTTAGCCGTGATTGCCGTATGTAAATATCAGATGCTTACATTTAAACAGAACATCCAGACGGGTCCAGTTCGCTGAGCAGAACTGCCCACTGTAAGGACAGCCTCACAGGCCCGTGGACAGCAGCCCTGGGCCCTGCCAACGGAGCCAGTGCCAGGTGATGACCGAGCGCCAGTACACAGGGCAGATGCACCACGGAGGAAACCCAAGTGTGCTTGTGACTTCTCTCAGACAAGGTAGTTCCTGGGGCTGAGCCCGGGCGCACAGAGGGCAGGCCTAGAACAGAACCTCAGCTGTGTCACCGGGAGGTTGTGCAATCCTGGCAAGCTGGGTACTGTCTCTGAGCTCCCGTTTCACCACTAAACGGTAAGGTTAACAGCCCTGCCTCTTGGGCAGCTCAGAAGCTCCTCAGAAGACCTGTGAGTGGTGCTGCGTGACTGTCAGGAAACGGCACCTTGAGGGGGACGCCTATTACAGCCCGAGCAGCTCGGGAGCAGCTGAGGTGGGCAGAAGGCAATGCTGCCCCTGACTCAGCCCACAGTGGGAATGCACAGATACAGTTCTGGCCTGGGAGGAGCTCGGGGCTTAGGTCCAGAACACAGTCCATCCAGACTCACAGAGGGCTCGGGCCAAGCCTAGAGCCTCACCCATCGCTGAGCGCATGGGAAGCCAAGGCGGCAAAGGCGAGAGGACCTTGTCCTGCTCACCCAGGGGGCATCATAAGCACAGTGTCCAGACACTCAGAGGAGAGGCAGGGGGCCAGAGGCAAGGATCCTCAGGGACGCTGAGCTTGGGAGTGGTGTCACCTCAGAGCTGGACAGGCAGGCAGGATACGCAAGTCCTCTGGGTCCCCAGATCACATCCCCGAGACACATGTTGGAGTCCTGACCTCCAGAACGGAGACAATCAATCCACATTCTTTTAACCACCGAGTTTATAGTAATTTCTATGGCAGCAATAAAATCTCATATAGAAGGTATAGAGGATGTACTTCATTGGAACTTCTACGACCCACTGAGAAATCAAAAGAAGAGGACAAAGAACCGTAATACGACAGGGCTGAACCCAGCTTTCTGGCGCAGCCCAGGCCTAGGTGCTGAAGCCCACAGGGCGGACAGCTCCTGGCCAGAGCAGCAGAGCAGCAGCTTGGTTCTCAGTCAGTGGGGGCTGCAGGAGGCCACCCAAGCTTTGGCCAGGGGAAGCCAGGCCCTGGACTTAGTGAGGCCACAGGCAACACACAAGGTCCTGCTGGGCAGGGCCTGCAGCTTTCCAGGCAGGCCAGTGCAGCTGGGAGAGCACTGCTACCTCAACAGCCTCTGTGGCCTTGCAGACGAGGTGGCCCTACCACCTGCATACCCCGGGCACCAGGTAGGCTGTGCACAGGGCTACATGGGCACCTAGGAGCAGCTGCCCACCTTCAGCTGGCAGTCAGAACCCAGTGTGGAAGGAGAGGAACTGATCCAGACCTGAGGGACCCTTCCGGGAGGGAGGCATGGGGCTGAAGACAACTTTGGGCCAGCAGCACCGAGCAAGGTCCAAGTCAAGAGTGGAAAATAAGCACGACAGCTACATGTGGAACAGATAGCACTCTCCTTACCCTCTCTTACACAAACCTGCACACACACACATGCACATACATACACACTTCCTAATGAAGGCAAGAGCAGCAGCCACCGCAGCATGAAACTAAAAATGCCCGCAAGGCGCTGTGGATGTTTTCCCAGACATGGGAAATGAGCAGAGTGCCAGCCCTGCTGAGAGCTCTCCCAGGTGGCTTGCACATGACAGGAGCTGGGTTCCGAACTGACATCTCTGCGGGGAGAGAAACCAAGCAGAGCTACGCTTGCTGACCTCATTCAGGGTGACGCCAGGCCGCAGACAGCAAGGACGGCCTCCAGGAGTGGGCTCTCCCCAGCAGGACCGCCCGGCCTCCGGGAGCGGGCTCTCCCCAGCAGGACCGCCTGGCCTCCGGGAGCGGGCTCTCCCCAGCAGGACCGCCTGACCTCTGGGAGTGGGCTCTCCCCAGCAGGACCGCCCGGCCTCCGGGAGCGGGCTCTCCCCAGCAGGACCGCCTGGCCTCCGGGAGCGGGCTCTCCCCAGCAGGACCGCCTGACCTCCGGGAGTGGGCTCTCCCCAGCAGGACCGCCTGACCTCTGGGAGTGGGCTCTCCCCAGCAGGACCGCCTGACCTCTGGGAGTGGGCTCTCCCCAGCAGGACCGCCTGACCTCTGGGAGTGGGCTCTCCCCAGCAGGACCGCCCGGCCTCCGGGAGCGGGCTCTCCCCAGCAGGACCGCCTGACCTCTGGGAGTGGGCTCTCCCCAGCAGGACCGCCTGACCTCTGGGAGTGGGCTCTCCCCAGCAGGACCGCCCGGCCTCCGGGAGCGGGCTCTCCCCAGCAGGACCGCCTGGCCTCCGGGAGCGGGCTCTCCCCAGCAGGACCGCCTGACCTCTGGGAGTGGGCTCTCCCCAGCAGGACCGCCTGACCTCTGGGAGTGGGCTCTCCCCAGCAGGACCGCCTGACCTCTGGGAGTGGGCTCTCCCCAGCAGGACCGCCTGACCTCTGGGAGTGGGCTCTCCCCAGCAGGACCGCCCGGCCTCCGGGAGCGGGCTCTCCCCAGCAGGACCGCCTGGCCTCCGGGAGCGGGCTCTCCCCAGCAGGACCGCCTGACCTCTGGGAGCGGGCTCTCCCCAGCAGGACCGCCCGGCCTCCGGGAGCGGGCTCTCCCCAGCAGGACCGCCTGACCTCTGGGAGTGGGCTCTCCCCAGCAGGACCGCCCGGCCTCCGGGAGCGGGCTCTCCCCAGCAGGACCGCCCGGCCTCCGGGAGCGGGCTCTCCCCAGCAGGACCGCCTGACCTCTGGGAGTGGGCTCTCCCCAGCAGGACCGCCCGGCCTCCGGGAGCGGGCTCTCCCCAGCAGGACCGCCTGACCTCTGGGAGTGGGCTCTCCCCAGCAGGACCGCCCGGCCTCCGGGAGCGGGCTCTCCCCAGCAGGACCGCCTGACCTCTGGGAGTGGGCTCTCCCCAGCAGGACCGCCCGGCCTCCGGGAGCGGGCTCTCCCCAGCAGGACCGCCTGGCCTCCGGGAGCGGGCTCTCCCCAGCAGGACCGCCTGACCTCTGGGAGCGGGCTCTCCCCAGCAGGACCGCCTGACCTCTGGGAGTGGGCTCTCCCCAGCAGGACCGCCTGACCTCTGGGAGTGGGCTCTCCCCAGCAGGACCGCCTGACCTCTGGGAGCGGGCTCTCCCCAGCAGGACCGCCCGGCCTCCGGGAGCGGGCTCTCCCCAGCAGGACCGCCTGGCCTCCGGGAGCGGGCTCTCCCCAGCAGGACCGCCTGGCCTCCGGGAGCGGGCTCTCCCCAGCAGGACCGCCTGACCTCTGGGAGTGGGCTCTCCCCAGCAGGACCGCCCGGGGCCCAGCACAGTCTTCTTCTCGTTTTGCTGAGTCCTCTGATAAGCTGTGGGTCCTCCTAAAAGTTCAACTCTTGGAAGTGAGGGCTGTCACAGACCTGGCAGCTAACATTCTGGTCGTCCCAGTGAGGCCGGCCGGCTGAGACAGCGCACGGCAGTCAAGGGAAAAGTGTGAGTTTAACTGGTCTGGACTTCAGCAGAAACAAGAAATTCTGATTCTGGCTTTCAGCTCCTTTGAATGTCACCATCTCTGGACCTGAACTTGGAAAGATGAGCCTGTGCGATTCCGTTTCTCCCAGGTACCGTCACAGAAGAGGTTTATATTCAAGTCCGGGACAACCTGCGTTGCCCCATGCTTACAGATGGCCGCTGAGCCTGGCAGAGGAATTTCTGAGAAGCCAGGTTGAGCATCACAGCTGCAGAGAATTAAGGATGAGACGTGAACCGGAACGACACCTGCCGGAGCACCATGCATGTCCCCCACTGACCGGGACCTGAAGGCTATGAAGGGAGGGAGCGCGGGACCTCTCCCTGGACCGGGGCCTCCTTCCACACTGCGGGAGCTCATGGGTGCCGGCACAGTCTCCCCAGACACATGCACCTGAGAGCAGACAGCCGGTTCCATACACCCACCGCCCGCACAGCTCGGAGCGGCTCTGCTCAGGGGCTCTGCCATGCAGGAGGGTGGCCTGCCAGGCGTGGTACTGCCCAGGTGGGGGGCGGGGTGGGGGTGAAGCAGCCTGCACGAGCCTGGGAGTCAGTCAACCAGTTTATTTGACTCCAAAACTGTGATAGGATTTCAAGCCTCTTGTTTAGCAGAAATAAAAGTTATTCTTTGGCCTCCATCTGCCACTATTTTGTTTTATTTCTCAATTTGCTCAAAAGCCAAGGAGGGAAGATGGATTCTCAGAGATCCAATCAATGAGAAAAGAACGACACCTGAAAGTCTGTTTTAAAAGCCAGGGGGATAAGGAATGCCTGTATTTTGAAAAGCCCTGCCAAGGCTGGTGGGCTCCCAGCCATAGCTGAGGCAGGAAGACTGGTCTTCAGACCCTGGGAACCGTGAGGACAGGCCTGCCACGGCACAGACCACGGCAGAAGCCACAGTGGAGGCACTGTACCTGTGCCCGGGGAGTCCCTGCTAGCAACTGTGACACCCCCGAGGGAAATCTCGGGAGTCGAGAAGGGAGCTGAGGAGTGCCACGTGGAAAGAGGGAGGAGAGCAGCCCTGCAGCCCACGGGCCCCTCCAAAGCCTCCGGGTCCCACCCCACACAGCTGTACACACACTCTGATGGGCAGCACGGCAGGCGGAGGGGCAGGACTGCTGTGCACTCACGGAAGTGTTAGCATTATCCC